TATGAACTGCCTGGATTCACTTATATATGGATTTTTTTCAATAAGTATATTTGGAGAGATTTGTGACAATCTGAAAAAACTCAACATATGAACCATGTAGCCTAGAAATACTGAAAAAATTAAGAGAAAGGTATGTCATGAATGCATGAAATACATGTAGATGTTCATGTATTTTATGATTTACTACCACAAAATATATAGAAATCTATTATATAAGGTTAAAATTTACCAAACACACACATATTCACAGGTGAGAGAAAGGTAAACAAACATAAAGATGCAGCATTAAATCATAACTGCATAAAATTAACTATTATTATCTATTGTTACTACTGTATTAATTTTGTAGCCATCGCCTGTTGCCATTGCGGTGAGCTCAAGTGTTGCTAGTGTCTGCTTAAAATACTATGTGATGCTAATCATCTCCGCATGAGCAGAGCATTTTCTGTCTCCAGTAAATTGTGTATTACAGTAAAAAGTGATCTCTTGTAGTTCTTGCATATATTTCATTGGGTTTAGTGTAAATACTGTAAACCTCGAGTAACACCATGGGACCCATACGAACTGCCACCAGTGATGCTGGACGTGTTCCCAAGACGCAGAGAAAAGTCATGACATTGTAAGAAAAAGTTGACGTTCTGTAGATTGAGATCTGCAGCTGTGGCTGCCTGCAATTTTGGACAGATGATTCATTTTGTAGACAGATGACATAAATTTGCAGTATTGATAAATACAGGACAGTACTATAAGTGTATTTTCTCTTCCTTACGTTTTATTTTTCTTTCTTTTTTTGAGACAGGGTCTTGCTCTTCACCCAGGTTGGAGTGCAAAGGTGCAAAGACAGCTCACTGAGGCCCTGACTTCCCAGGCTGAAGTGATTTTCCCGCCTCAGCCTCCTGAGTAGCTGGGATTACAGGCACACACCACCATGCCCAGCTAATTTTTAAACTTTTTATAGGGATAGGTCTCCTTATGTTGCCCAGGCTGGTCTCACACTCCTGACTCAAGAGATCCTTTCATTTTGGGCTCCCAAAGTCCTGGGAATATAAGCATGAGCCACTGTGTCTGGCCTCTCTTCCTTATAATTGTCTTAGTAAAATTTTCTTTTCTCCAGCTTATTTTATTGTAAGAGTATGTAATACATACAACATGCAAAATGTGTTACTTGCCTGTTATGTTTTTGGTAAGGCTTCTGGTCAACAGCAGTAGTTAAGTTTTTGGAGTATCAAAAGTTATAAGTGGCTTTTCAACTATGCTGGGGATTGGTGCTCCTAACCACCTTGTTGTCCAAGGGACAACTGGATAGCCTACAAACCAAGACGTGAGTGGGAACTGTAGTGAACTGCTCCTACATTGAGTAATCAAGGGGCACTCTGCCACTTTATTCCTCTAGATTACATAGGTGGAATCTTTCTTTTCTTTTTTGAAACAAAGTCTTGCTCTGTCACCCAGGCTGGAGTGCAGTGGCGTGATCTTGGCTCACTGCAAGCTCTGTCTCCCAGGTTCATGCCATTTTCCTGCCTCAGCCTCCTGAGTAGCTGGGACTACAGGCGCCCGCCACCACGCCTGGCTAATTTTTTTGTATTTTTAGTAGAGACGGGGTTTCACCATATAAGCCAGGATGGTCTCGATCTCCTGACCTTCATGATACGCCCGCCTCGGCCTCCCAAACTGCTGGGATTACAGGCCATAGGTGGAATCTTTAAGTAGAGCTGTACATCACCAATTTCCCTTCTCTCCAGAAAACACATCCAAAGTGTTCTCTCAACATCAGTTAGGTTAGCATCAAATTTGAGAGAGATATCCAAGACAACAACTCAACTTCAGCAAGAAGAGAGTAGCTTGGCATTTACCAAGGAGAGATTCCAAATACCTTATTATTTTCTAGCTCTGAGGCTCTGCCATGTTAGGTCACATGGTTACATCTCTCCACAGAACTTGAATTCACGTATAAGTGCCTTTCTATCTCTTACACGTCCTCCCATTTCCATCTATTAACTGTTTTGACCCATACCCTTTTCCCCACGATTGGGCTAACTGGTTCAACGGTTGTATTATAAACCCACAGGGACGGTAAAACAGCAGCCTTGTTAGCACTTCTCCTTGGCAGATATTACAGGATTTGACACATAAGAATCACAAGACACTGGCTTGTGTTTATGGATAGGCCTTAATTTGCCTGCACAGAGTGAAGTTATTCACACCCCTAAAGGCCTTTAAGAATATGCACTGTCAAATGTAATGGTATTGATACCGTGTTTTGTGCACTGACAACACTTTCCTTTGGTATGTGCAACTTTAAACTCGGGCCTAGGACCATTAGATCAGGGAAAACTAATTAAAAAATCTATGAAATGGGAAAGATATATAGTTGTGAATTTGCATCCTCCCCCATCACCTCATTCCTATCTCCCAATCCTAGAAACCTTATAAGTAGAGTCCTAGCATTATTCCCTTTCACAGTCAATGTTACTACACCATCATTTAACTGAATAAACTAACCCTTAAACCTGTAGTTTTTTCTAGTGATCAATTTAGTTACTTTGGAAACAAATATATCTTTCAAGAAACAGGAGGTTTTCTAATGATAGGTAAAAGTGGTTTCATGTTTTCCCTTTATCATTTATCTCTTTTTTAGCAACTAGTTAACATTCTGCTAAAAGGAGTCCAAAGATACTTTTCCCCTCTAGTAAATACCCTTAGTGATTTTTTTGTTTCTTTGTATGTTTTTTTGCCATGAGGTCTGTAATTATATTTGCAGGAAGATTATAGAGGTTCTTCCTTCTTGCTTTCCAGGAAGCCTACCCCAGTTACTGGAAAGAATGGATAACAGATCTGCTATTTGGTCTTTTTGTTCCCCCAAATTATGGGATTTTCTAATAAATAATATCTCTTGTGACCTTGATAATCAAGATTTACTGTGGAAGAAAGAAGGCAGAGATAGAATACAGAATTATTATAATCCTTATGTTGTCTTGAATTTGATTTTGAAATATCATGAACTCATGAGTCATTAGATACACACATACAGACATATATCATTTCACGTTCAAAGAAATCAGGGCTTCCTGAAAAAAAGGATGTTCTAGCTCTGGGACCGAAAATGTGTAAGATGACCACTTCGTGGCAGCATTGTTTATCACAGTGCCAAACTGGATACCACCTATATGCTATCAATAATAGAATGGACAATTAAATTGTGGTGTGATAAGTTAATTAGAGTCTCCCACAAGGGAACACTATACTACAATATAAATGAACACACTATTGCTTCATTCAATAATATGGATGAGTCCCTTAAAACATTATAATGAAACAAAGAAGCCAGAAATTTTATGAGTTCATTGATGCCTATAAGACATAAAGGTTATGTAACATAATTATAAAAAATATATTTGTATGCATTCGTGTAGAACTGACCCTTTTCTATTATAAGACCATTTCATAGAAAAATGGTCCACAAAATTTTACTGATACCTCTCCCCCATAGAAAGGTCTTATTGTCCCCCTTTTTTTTTTTTTTTGGCTTAAATCCTGTTCTGACAATTTTAAATGGGAGGAAAAAGGCTTAGCAACCTATATTGCATCATTTATATGTTTCTATGTCTTCAGAAGTACTGTCTTTCTTAATATTATTCTAAAGAATAACTTTCATCTTTGCACACCTATAGGCAGTCAGTAGAAACCACGTGCTGTAAATGTTAAAATCAGATCTATATTTTCGTTACTGAGATGCCAAAGACAAATCTGCTCGGTTTTTACATTTTACCCAAAGGCTTGATAAAGCTAATTCCCCATCTCTAATCCCTACAGAGACACACACATAGAAATTCAAGAACACACAATATCGGTCATATACTATTAAAAGATGGCAATAAGGTCAAATTCTTTGACTACCTTTTCAATAAGGGAGGTCTCTCTGGGTTCTAATCCAGTCTTTTATCTGTCTGGCAGTAAAAGGAATAGTATGTGTACCTTTCAGTGAGGTGTCACATGAACTTCATTACAGAACTATGTAATCTTAGAAAATTCAAAGAGAGAGCGAGAGACAAAGAAAAAGCAAGAGGGAATACTCTGTACAGAATCACCCAGAAATTCATATGACAAATATATTTATAATGAGATCGTTTATCATGAGAGCTGCTCGGCAACCTTTTCTCAGAAATAATAATATAATACCACTCAATCTTTCTCGTTTTAACAGCTAAGGAGATCAACTACAGATTCACTAAAAAAAGCTTTCAACTGAAGACAACACTTCAACTTCAGCAAGAATAGAGCAGCTTGGTATTTACCACGGAGAAACATTATGGGGTCTGTACTCTTTCTCTTAATTTTATTTATAAAAGTGGAATGGTATCTGGTTAAAATCGTTCTACCAGCTAATGTTTCATTCATTCAATAAATTTTCATATTATGTCATACTTACACCTGCTCTCTATGCTAACTAATCAGATAACATTTTCTCAGACATGATTTTCTCACCACCTCCAACAAAAACCAGTATCCTATCTATTTTTTATAACAAAAACAAAACCATCATTCTATTTTAGCATCATTCAAAATATGTTAAAAAATACAAGGAATATATCATGTTTTGTGTCAAATACATATTGCAAGAAGCTTCCAAAAAACTCCAAAACAAAACAAAAATAACCCTTGTATTTCCTGTCTCCAACAAGCCTAAATTCCAAACCCTAAAAAAAAAAAACCAACTTAAATTGAAGGACTATAATACAATATCAGTTTTAGAACCAGTTATATATTTAAAAAAAAAAAAAAAAAAAGCCTTACTAGTAATCACTTTGGCAAATGGTCAAAAGCCCCATTTTAAAACTTCCCTTTCTTCATGCAAGGAAGGTGCTTACTCAATTTCTTCAGCTGTGACTCCACATTTTTATATTCTAAATCAGTTTTCTTTGTTCATTGTAACTACTTATTAGTGAATTGAGATTATCTATGTGGCAACAAACAGCTCCCTTGATAGTTTGGCTGCATACCCAAAGCTGCTACTTTGATGATCATTGCTTGAATGTTAGATGATATCATCTCTCTGAGCAAATCTTCCTGGTTTCTCTGCCAAAGGTAAGCTAAAGGCTGGAGATTAAGCCTTTTACACCTACAAAAGAAAAAGAAAAAGAAAGTCAGATGATATCTTAATATTTTATACTTGGATCCACAGCAATTACTTTGATTTGAAACATAATGCTTCATTCAAGGATTTTAGCATTGAAAATGCTTTTAAAAACATATTTTGCATAATGAAGTTTATATATACAACAAAAACATATTTAATTTCCATGGGCTATGCATAAACTGATAAAAATGAAATTTCTAGGCATACTAGAAATATTAATTTTAGTAAGACTCTTAATTTAGTAATCTATTAAAAGAGTTTACAAATGCCAGTATTCTCTCTGTTTTAAAACTTCCATGGGTATCAAAATTTTGAAGCATATGTAAAGTGGGCAAATAATTTATCCTAATAAAACAGCCGCATATTGATTAAATTAACAGTAACTACAGTTATATGAATTATTCTAAACTACTAATTTTGATTTTTTTTTTTAAGAATTTGATTGTGAATAAAAAGAAAATACTAAGAACAAAAAGTACAATGCTGCAGGCACTGTACAAGATATTTTCCATTATTGGTAAAGTAGAAAAAATATAGGTTTTGGGGTGAACACACATCTGAATTTAAAACCTCATTTTGTACTCTAGCTGCACGGCTTTTGAAGTCAAGTAAAATCTAAGTCCTTGTGCTTAGTTTCCTAGTTCATAAATAGGGGCAAAAATAGTTCCTTTCAAAGTTCTTAAGAGGATTAAAAAATGTGAAATGAAATCATCCTTCCCTTTCCTTCACATTCCACATCCAATCTACCACAACGCAGAATGTGATTATTCCTCACCAATACCACTGCTAACAACTTGGTTTGAGCCACCATTCTCTCTCATGTCAACATTCTAATTTCCTTCCCTGCTCCACCCTCACCCTTTAAAATCCATACAGCAGCCAATGTGATCCTTTTAAGACATTAAATAGATCATAGTATTCCTCTGCTCAAAACCCTCCAGTGGCTCCTCATCACTCCATGGATCTCGCCCTGTTTAGTTCATGCACTTTATTTCCTACTACTTACTCTCTTCTCACTCCATCCTACCACTGCTGCCTGCCTGCTCACTCTTGCCTTTACACTAGTTGTGTTCTCACTTGCTTCATGCCTTTGCTTAAATGTCACTTTCTCAGAAAGGACTATAATTGTTTAATCAATTAAAGGTAATACAGATAATGTAGTACAATGCCTGGATAAAATAGGTATTCAATAAATGATAGTCAAAGCCAAGTGACTTGCCCGAGTCATACACTAACTGGCTGAGATCAGATTCCAAACCAAGAATATAGCTCTAAAACCCAGTGTCTATAAGGTTTATAAGTAAAATCCACCGTCCCTAGCATCTGTAAGGTTGCTTGGCTGACTACTCTGGCCTATACTGATCTCTCTCTCTCTCTTCTCTCAGAGATCCCAATACTTATTAAATGTACCATGTTTGGTCATTTACTCATACTTGGCCTTAAAAATATCACTATTGCTTTTCATTATGTATACCCTGACTTTCAAAAAGCCAAAACCTTCCTCATTGCAGAGATTGTTGCATGTAATTTTCCCTTTTAAAATGTCTCAGAGCATTTAAGCAATGCTGAAGCAGTTAATAAATACAAAAATAATAAAATGTGAACTACCCATGTAATACAAACACTAGTTCTTGCTGTCCTCTCACCCAATGTTTAAGGCCGACTAATCAAAACAGCCTCTCTACCTTTTTAAACTAGGACTTACTTTTTGTTAAAAAAAAAAGTTTTTTTCCTGTCCTTATTGTAAAATTTGTGGTTGTTGCTTTGAAATTCCTCAAAACCTCTTGACTATAGACGTAAGTAAAATTTTTTTCCTATTTAAGTTCTTTAACAGTTCAAAATATCATGGCTCAAATAAAAGTACTCTGTAAATCACTGCTGAATTTGAACTTGTGACATCTATTAAACGCTTTACATTCTGAAATTATGGTAATATAACACAAACTAAAATTTGGTAATAGGCTAATTCAAAATTGAGTTTGTGGACCAACAGACTGCCAGTAACATTACTTTTGAAATTTCAAGGATAAAATAATTGCAGATATGCTTTATAACATAAAATCTACTCATCTGTTCAACCATGTGTTCAAGTGTACCAGAGACTGTGTTCTGAGAAAGTCTCTACCCGTGGGCATGACGCGTGCCCTTCTTCCATATATATACATATATGTAATGGGCAGCCTCCTAATCAGGATCACATTTTTATTTGGCTTTTTAACTTTCATAAATAGATGTCATCCCTATCTCCAGTTTGGCTACCCATTAAGGCATGTGGGTTTGAACTTATTAAAAAACACTAATTTTTAACAGTTCTCAGAGAACATGATCTAAAACTTGATGACAACACTATTATTTCTAAAGTATGGCTTAAGGGATATGCAATTCATCTCCATCTGTAGATCGGTTGTTCTCAACGGTAGATCTACATCTAGGTAGAATGCAAGGAAAACTTTCTCAAAATACACATGACCTTCTTCCCCACTCCACCATCATCATCCATCGTCTAGAGACTCTGATACACTTCTAAAATGTAAGATCATATTTCTCTTCACTTAACTATGCTTTACCCTGTTTTCCCTTCATTCACTCTTAAAATTCTGTATTTTTTTAAACTGCCCTAAATCCACCATGGAATTAGAGAGAAAATAAATAAAATAAAAATGAAACTTAAATTTTCAAATCTATTAATATGTAGGTTTTAAATGAGATAGTAAATAGGAATGTTTCTTTATCAAGAATATAAAAATATTATACAAATACAGCCATTATCTTATTCTATTTATCCTTTTGACTAGCAAAATAACTTATTTGTAGGTCAAATTGTGCTTAAGAAAAATAATGGAGTCCAATTTTCTTTTGTTAATATAACTATGCCCAGAATCTCTATACAATATTATATTTATCTAGATAAATTAAAAATGAAAAGTAAATTCATTCAGGTCGTGTCTTGCCAGGCCAACATTAAATAACCAATATTATCATTTTACCTCATGATTTTTGAATAGATCAATAGAATTGACCGTTTTGGTATGTGCAGCTACAGACTAAATGCTTCACTAGTGCTCCCTCCCTTAGGGGAGCAGAGAGAGGCTAGGAGGAGGGGAGGAACATCCTAAAAATTCCTTGAAAGTTGAATGGCTTTATATGTAAGTACTTCAATCATGTAAATATTTTTGGACAAGAACTGAATTATATGAACCAAAGAAGAGATGACTCCTTAGTAAGCATTTTTTTCTTTAAAATATTACTGTATTGATTCTATTATCTCTTGATTTTTATTACAAATGATGAGTTAAAAGAGATTAACAGGATATACTAAATCAAATAAGAAAAAAATGAAGACAATACTTCTCACTAAAAAATCTATCTCAATTCTATGATAGATTATTTTTCCTTATACTAATTAAGTTAAATTTCCTCATGTGTGATATAAGGATAAAAAAAAGTAAAAGCATGACTTTTGTTACTTAGGTAAATCCATACATTTAGTTCCATGGAGCACGTAGACTACCATACCTATTTATAATTTGAATACAATTATTGATTTTTCACTTATTCACATTCTTAAAATACATACACTTTTAAAATTAACAAATTAATGTTTTCTTACACATTTTCCACTCGAATACGCTGATAGTCAGAAAGTATAGCACCTACTGATATCCCCTCTACTTCTTCTTTTTCCTGAAAATAAAGGAAAAAACCATAACTTTAAAAATAAAGTAACAAATGGCTCCACATCATGCTCTGAAAATTATAAATGAACTGCGTCTCATCTAGAAAACTACCTCAAAGCAGAGTAATTTACTGAAAATATAATCGACATTCAGAAAAAATTTACATATATTTAAATCATTCTCTCAGCTGTGAGAAAAATAATTATGGTTTTACTTAAAATTTAAATAACTAGAGATCCCTTTCCATGGAGAAAGCAAAGACTTAGGCAGCACTTCCAAAATGTTTCACACTTAACGTATTTTTAAAGACTCACTGATGTTCGATGGAAACTTTTGAGAAATTTCTATTTAAGGACACTATTTTCCCAGATTGAGTAACTTCTTTTAAAAATTAGGCAATGGCCTACATAGATAAGGGAGCACAATAATTTTTACGTAAATCTTAGGAAGAAATGATTGAAACAGGAGTATCTAGAAAGCAGAGATGGTAGAGGCATTGCCTGGATAACAGTATAGCACTGTAGATAAAGAATTCTGTCATGGGAAGGAAGCAATGAATTATTATCAACGTAGTTGCAACTGAGAGCATCCAGCAGTATATCCGGCATGGTCCCAAGGGAATGACAACTATCCTGTCTAGCACACTCATTAATGAGCTGGAGGAGAATGTACATTCAAGTATGATCAAGTTTGCAGATGATACAAAGCCAGACTGGATTAAAAAGAAAAGAAAACAAGATCAATCAAGTACATGGATGGATTATGGACAACTTGGGGATTTGAAAGGACAGGTCCAAGATGAGATTTAATGTAAAGAAGTATAAGATAATACACTTAGGGAAGAATAATACACAATATGGGTGTAAACTAGGGAACTGTTATCTAGAAAACACATGAAGAAAGTGACTAGGGGGTGATTACTAATAACAAACTGAATAGAAATTCTCTGAATAGGTGTAAAAGAAAATCCATCCTAGCCTACGGACGTACAAAAGAAACTACTTTAGAGAGATCACTTCATTATGAATACTCTGGTCTTACCAAACTTGGATATCTAGAAAGAAAAACAAAAGTGTTTCACATAAAACAAAAGTTAATATTTCAAGTCATACTGAAATAACCCTGTGTACCTAAAAGGATGTCATAATAAATAAACAAAAATGTGCAAAAGGAATTTTTCATGTCTTTAAAGTCAAATGAAAATTTGCCCTCCGAAATGTCAGAGAAATACCTGTCCAAATCACCGCAAAATAAAACAATTCTTTTTATCAGATAAGGTTTCAGGAAAAGAGCTATTTCCTTTACTTTCCTATTTCAGCAACTTTGTGAGAACATTTGCTTATAACCTTTCCCTAACCTTCCTAGCCATATTTGTTTTCATAAAAGTCATTGTATTCATTAGAAAAAGTCATAGCATAGAGTTCCTTATTAAACGTAAATACAGTAGAGATTGGAGTTGTTGAATAATGTTATCAAAATTTTAGTTATATCCCTATATCATATAGATGTTTATCTGAAGTTCTGCTATAAAAATAATGAAGTACTAAATATAGACATATAGGAGTGTGTGTATTTCTCCAGAGATCATGGAAAGAAAGACAAGAGCCACTGGTGTTTTCTTCCTTCCCTAAGTCAAATTACTATTTTCTTTTTTTTAGACAAAGTCTCACTCTGCCGCCCAAGCTGTAGTAGAGTGGCACGATCTCGGCTCACTGCAACCTCCACCTCCCAGGTTCAAGAAATTCTTCTGCCTCAGCCTCCCAAGTAGCTGGGACTACAGGCATGTGCCACCATGCCCAGCTAATTTTTGTATTTTTAGTAGAGACGGAGTTTCACTATATTGGCCAGGCTGGTCTCAAACTCCTGACCTGGTGATCCACCCACCTCAGCCTCCCAAAGTGCTGGGATTACAGGTATGAGCCACCGTGCCTGGCCATCAAATTATTATTAAAATAATAATTGGAATTTATTATCCATTTGCCATTCACTAGTGTGCTATGATTTTTATTTAATGCTCACCACAACCCTAAAACAATTTCTTCTTTGTATACATGCATTCTTTGGAATACTCTTCTACTCCCATCTATTTTATTTCATGTATTTTTAAATTTTTATTTATTTATTTATTTAGAGACAGAGTCTCACTCTCTCTGCTGCCCAAGCTGGAGTACAGTGGGGTGATCTCAGCTCCAGGGTTCAAGCAATTCTTTTGCCTCAGCTTCCAGTGTAACTGGGACTACAGACGTGTACCACCATGCCAAGCTATCTTTTTCTATTTTTAGTAGAGATGGGGTTTCACTGTGTTGCCCAGGCTGGTCTTGAACTCCTGGACTCAACTGATCCACCCGTCTTGGCCTCCCAAAGTGCTGGGATGATAAGCTTGAGTCACCGCACCTGGCCCCATCTATTTTATTTTTTATTTGATAACACTTAACTAATCAGCACTAAGTAAATTCTGACTATTCTTCAACACTGAGCCTATATATAGATCATTAGTTTTATTTGTTCAATAATTTTTTTGAGGCCTCCTGGGTTCAAGTGATGTTCAATAATTTTTTTGAGGCCTCCTGGGTTCAAGTGATTCTTGTGCCTCAGCCTCTTGAGGAGCTGGGATTACAGGCATGCATTGTATCAGCAAGCCCAGCTAATTTTTGTATTTTAGTAGAGACAGAGTTTTGCCATGTTGCCCAGGCTGGTCTTGAACTCCTGACCTTAAGGGATCTGCCTGCCTTGGCCTCCTCTCAAAGTGCTGGGATTACAGGTGTGAGGTACCACACTTGGCCCAATAATTGTAATTACTACTGCCTGGTAGAAATCTGGCCCTATTACTTACTAGCTCTGTGATTTTGAATGTTACTCAATTTCTCTGTGTCTGTTTCTTCATCTATAAAGTGAGGAAAAAAATATCAATTCTTATTTTCCAAGGTTATTGTGGAGATTGAATAAAATAATTCATGTAAATAACACAGTATCCAGCACCTAGTAAGCATTCAGCAAGTATTTTCTTCTTTCATTATTATGATCTTTACTATTCCTATTACTTCTATAACTACCTGTGTTATTACTTCTACTATTACTACTACTGACTACTACTACAGTCATCTCTCATTATCAATGGGGGGGTTGTTTCCAGGAATCCCCCTAAAATCAAAATCCACAGACTCTCAAATCCATTATATAAAATAGTGTAGTATTTGCATATAACCAATGCATATCTTTGCATAAACTTTAAATAGTCTCCAGATTATTTATAATACCCCAATACAAGGTAAATGCTATGTAAACAGTTGCCATACTGTTTTTAAAATCTGTGTTTTTATTGTTGTATTCTTATTTTTTATTGGTTTTTCCTCATAATATTTTTTATCTACAGTTGATTGAATCCATGGATGTGAATCCGTGGATACAGCGGGCTGACTGTACTGCTACTACTGTATTAAAAACCTAACTCTTCCATTTTGACGGACAAAGCCCTTCTCTAATGGGCTTTAACACTCTTTCTCATTATGACTCTCAAGACAAGCCTACTAACCCTTGACACTCAACTCTAGATAGAGTTGCAACACAGTTTTCCAGCACAGTGAGACCTGAATAATCCAGGGATAAGAAAGACTTCTGCTGATTCCTTAATCATTCTGAACACAACTACAAACTTCAAACAAAGGGCAAAATAGATATTTAAAAGATAAAGATCTACCACATAGTCAATCTACGCCTTAGAAAAGACATAGCTAGGTTCAGGCTCTGATCCCTGACCCATATCATTTGGGAGAAAAAGTCAGTAAATAAACAATAGCAATGGAAGTGTCAGCAGAGAAAAAAAGAGAATGGCTACTAACATAAAGGATATACTGAGACAGCATAAAGACAGCCAAATGAATCACCTTGTGTCATAGTTGAAATAAAACCAAGTATGCTACAGGAAATTAGTAATATAGACTCTGGGACCCTATCCCTACAAATTTTTTAAACCAACTCAACTGAGTTATAATCATGTACAATCAACTGCATACAGTTAAAATGCATAATTCAATAATTTTGGATTGAAACCAGTGAAACTGGTACCATAATCAAGACAGACATCATTTCAGTTATTCCCAAACAGCTCGTTGTGCCCTTTGCAGCCCAACTCTCCCTTCAAACCTGGAGAGAGACAAGGAGAGAACCTAAAGAATGGGACCAACGTTTCTACCTTAAATTACTATTAACTGAGAAAGAAAATATATACATGTTTTAAAAGAAAATACTCCATTTATTCAGTTTTGCATATGTTGTATTCAATCTGTTTGCTAGGTATCTTTGTGTGGCTCATACTGTCATAACAAAATACCATGTAGACTGGGTTGCTTAAACAACAGAAATTTACTTTCTCACAGTTTTGGAGGCTGGAAGTCTAAGCTCAAGATGCCAGCATGAATTTTCTGGGACTCTCTTAAGGCCTCTCTTCCTGCCTTGTAGATGGTCGACATCTTGCTGTGTCTTCACATGGTTCCAGGGGTGGCAGGAAGAAAGTGCAAACTCCTTTCTGGTGTCTTTTCTTACAAGGATACTAATTCTATCATGAGGGCCTCACTTTCATAACCTCATCTAAACCTAATTATCTCCCAAAGGAGATCCAAATACCTTCCAAATACAATCACATGTGAGGTTAGGGCTTCAATATATGAATTTGGGGTGGAGGGCATAATGAGTTTATAGCACTATCCAAATAGATAAGACTATTAGGTACACTGAAGAAAACTCTGGTGCTCAAGAGAGCATAGGAATATATGTGGGTGTTGTCAGCATATACCTGAAGCCACGGGAGCAAACAAGAACCTCAACGATAGGATATAGGGTGAGAAGAGGGCTGAGTGGAAGACCCTGGGGATACACCAACATGTAAGGAGAGGCAGGAGAAGGAAAACCCAGTGAAGACGTTGGAAAAGAGTGGTCATAATGACAGAAGATACAATCAGGATAAAGTAATGGTGTGTGCACAAATATACAGAAAATGTTGATGAAAAG